CCGTAAGAAGTAAGTTAGATAAATAGGAGCTCATCAAATTAACATCCTTTGGCAAAACAAAATAAACCATCAGAAGAACAGGGATATAGCCATCAGAGGGGGAAAAAGGATTTCTCCAAATATATGTCCCTTAAAAGGATAATATCTAGGATCTACAAGAAACTCAAACTCTCAGAAAAATCAGGCGGGGGGGGGGGGGGGGACGGGATGTGGCGAGAGGCGACAAACTTTGAGAATACTGTTTGGCACAGATGGCCTAAAGCCCGTCACCACATGCAATCACTTTAATATAAAGGCCATTTTACCTTAATCACTTCTGCAGTAGTTTATTAGAAGACTCTTGCTTGACTTGTCTTATTCATGCGGAAAATCAGATTCAAACACAACACACATTTATTAAGCATTTACTATGCGTTCATATCGTTCTTCCCTCTCGTAAAGCAAGGCTAATTTTGCAAATATATATTGCCAGGGAAGATGTCTGGACTAATTAGAACAGATGCAGACGCGGTGAGAGTTCCATTCTGGTGAAACTAGGGTGAGAGATTTTTCGTGGGTTTTCACTGGGGAGACAGAAAACAATATGAAATATAGTTTTAAAACACTGGTGTGAAAAACCATGTCGCAGGAGCCAACATGAAAGTACAGACGCGCTGGGGGAAACAGACAGTTTTCCAGGCTGGGAGAGACAATAACACCCTACTCTCGGTATGTCCTAATAATTCTTGCTTCAGCATTGCAAGCGATATCCAAGTCTTCTCATATTTCTCTAATATTGCCCAAGTGTCTCTCTCTCTCTCTCTCTCTCTCTCTCTCTCTCTCTCTCTCTCACCATCCCTCTCCTCGAGCTTTTAACATTTCAAATATAATGCTGTAGTCGCTTATCTGGACCCTCCACCCAAGAACTACAATACCCAGAGTGCACAAGTTTCCATTTCCTCTTTCTACAGCGGTAATGCCTGACTTGATTTCATTTCTACGAGCAATAGTCACATGACATGTTTCCTGTCAAGATGGCGGATAGTCTCCCTTCGGAGTTTGATGTGATCGTAATAGGGACGGGTATGTGTGGCCCTGATATTCCCCGGACAACGTGTAGGAAGTCTGTCTTCTGCCTACTTTTACTGTCAGTGGCGAGGGCTGGCGAGAAATGACAGGGGTCAAGCATGTGAGGGGAGAATGGAAGGGAAGTGAAGTAGTCTGGAGTCAGCGCGCGGGACGTGGCAGATCCAGGGAGGGGCTTAGACCCACGGTACTTAGCGCCATTTGGGTAGGGGTCTATCTGGTCGATGCTGATTGCTGAGGTTGGTTGATGCGGTGATTCCTGTTAATTTCCTTAGAGGGAGGTGGGTTTGCAGTGTCATGAGAATGGAGGATCGGGATTTTATCAGTGGAGACGCCTTTGGCATGACGTTATGAGTCCCTTTTTGTTGATTTCAAGGTGATATCCCCCCATCATTTTGTCTCGCCATTTCGTAGGATCTTTTCATACATTTATGTGCTCCTAGGATACAGTACAACTCGGGTTCAGCTTAATCCTCAGTTTAACAAGAAAGTTACTCAGTTGTTGCCCATGTGCGTTATTACTTCATTACGGAAAGGAAACGGATTCTTTTATTGTGTTGAGACGCGTAGAGAATTGTATTTTGTTGAGGTAGCCATTATCCCTGCTTTATGGTGCTGAAGGAAAGCATCTTGCTTTCTATCACCCACCTATCCTCCCACAACTAAATGTGCTGAGAACCAGCGCCTGAGTTCCAGTTCAGGTGTGTGACCTTATCTTCCCCTTGTTTTTCCATCGCTTGTGCCCGTGTTTTGGATGGAGCAAGAAACCCCCATGCAATTTCTAGTTGACAGATTTAACATACAACACATGGCAGTAGACGTTTGGCAGCAATTGGGATTTTGTTTTTCGTAACAGTGTAAGGGATGAATTTTAGATGGAATGAAATAGGTTGTTTGATGGGGTTTTCTCCCGTCAGTAATATGTGGTAGGCCCGAGAGGCTCTGGTGGATGGGACCCTGTCCATTGTGATAATGAATTCAGTTCGTTGTCTTCTCAAACATTAGGGGCAACCATGTTTCCAGAGAAGGAGTAAAAATAATAGTTACCTGTTTTCGAATGCTAATAATTTCCTAATTGGTGTGCAAGCACTTTACAAGACGGAGGTAATCTTCATAACCTTGTTAAAGTACATATTCTCTGCATTTTATAGAAGAAGAAAAGGGGGCTTGAAAGGTTGTGATTTGCTCAGGATCACACAGCTGGTAAGTTTCCAAGGCCCATCCCATCCCAGGAGAATCAGTTGTTCTGACCCTCAGAGTTGACCCATATTAGAAATAATTGAGAAAACTTGCTTTTAGACCTTGCCTGGCCATTAACCAGTAGTGTGAATTGCTTAACTTGAGGGAACCAGGCATTTAACCTCTCTGAGTCTTAGTTTCTTTGTTTTTGAATATAGGGAGGGTAAACTAGATAACCTTTATGATGTTATCGAACCAAAAATACCTCGATAATTGTTACCAGTCTGAAAATAACTCCATGACTGCAGATAACCTGGTTGTAGCTGCTATGAATAGATGTTGGATGAAAGCTGGAAAGAGCCAAGTGACTATTCATTTTCTTCTTTCATTTTAGAATAGTTGTTGAATACTATATTCCTCACTTTCTTTTTTGTTACCTAGGAATTGAGGCATTTAAAAAATTTTTTTAAATAAGATTTTTTTTCTGGTCTGGATTCAAATTTTAATTGAAAAGTGTCGCCGGGCTCGGTGGCTCAGCCTGTAATCCCGCGCCTTTGGGAGGCTGAGGTGAGTGGGTTGCCTGAGCCCGCGGGTTCGAGACCCGCCTGGGCGGCGAGACCTCATCTCTACAATAAATCAAAAAATCAGCCGGGCGTGGTAGCGCATGCCTGTAATTCTGGCTACTCGGAAGGCTGAGGCGGAAGGATTGTTGGAGTTCAGCAGGTCCAGGCTGAGGTGGCCGGGAGCGGCCACTGTACTCCAGTCTGGGCGACAGGGTGAGACTCTAACTCAAAAAAAAAAAAAAAAAAAAAAAAAAGAAAGAAAAGTGTCCATTCTACTTATTAAATGCTGCTAGTTCTTTTAATAAATATTTTGCCTTCTGGTATAGTTCAGTATATAGAATACATCCATCCTGTTGAATTTTGTTAGGGTAGAGATAGGAAGATACAATGAGTGATCCAGAAACTTGCATCAGGAGACATTTCTTGTATTTGGAAAAAAGATTCATTTTAGACTTATCATCGTGAATGTAATGTTATTTTTCAAGTATGGGAAGAAATTGTTTGAAGCTAATCTTAAAAGGTTTTTTTATTGCTTAATGATTACACATTCTAGGCTTTATCAAGCACATTGCTGAAATTTATGATATGAAACCTTGTTTTTAGGTGTGTTAAACATAGAAAAATTGAATAAAAGAATCATTTCCCAAATAAATGATTCCAACAATTCCAATCACTACTTAATTGGAATTATTTTCCATGTGTTTGGAACATTTGTCTAGTGAAAAAGTTTGCTTAAAGTAGCCTTTAAGGTTTGTTTGCTTTATTAAATATATCACACTGAGTAAATCATAGAAAAGGCAGTGTCCCATTAATAACTTTACTAATAAAATCAGAAATAATCATGCATGTATCAGAAACATGAAGAAATAGGCTATTAGATGTACTTTTTCTTTTAACTCATTTAATTATAGTTAAAATCTCATTAAGGGACAATTGCTTCATTAAGTAGAATAATGTGAGGATAATATTGTATAATCTCTTTGATTTTACCAATTTGTATTTCTTCTCATTTTCTGTAACACAAGTTGGAAACTTTTCCTTGGTATCATATTTTCAGCCGAGCATGGTGGCTCATGCCTATAAGCCCATCACTTTGGGTGGTTGAAGTGGGAGGGTTGCTTGAGGCCAGGAGTCACCAGCCTGGACAACATGAGACTCCCGTCTCTAATATACAAATAAATAAATGTAAAAAGATATTTTCAAGAGATTGTGGGAAAAATAAAATTTTACATATATTTTCTTACTTAAGGTTACTTCTTTCTGATCAGAAAATACAGAAAATATCTCTTGAACATTTAGAGGCAGAGGAATAAGATAAAGTATTTGAACTGGAAAAAATAAAAGAAAATGGAATAAAGAAGGAGGACCAACTGGAGTCTCAAAGAAGAGGACAAAAATGGATTTAAATGATGTGTCTAAAAAGTGGTCTTCTGCGTGTTATTTGAACTCTTTAGTGTAGTGACAAATTACTTATTCTCAGGAACTTTTTGGGCTTCCTGGCAGTCATATCTCCAAAGCTGTTCTTAAGACATTTGAAGCTTTTCATAGCATTCTTCTTCTTTTTATTTAATTTTATTTTAAAGATGTAGAGTACAATTCAGGATTAGGTATACAAGTGGTCATCGTACAGGTAAAGTTTGGGCCTACCTTTGGTTCCCATTTTGCCTGGTTTGAGATCAGGTACTGTTATTAACATTATGTGCCAACCTCTCCCCATCCCCCCTGCAGTTTCCGGCTACTGCTAATTCCTTTTTTATACTACTGTTCAGGGTCCGCTTATGAGTGAGAACATATGGTACTCAGTTCTTTGTTTCTGTGATAAATCACTGAATATTATAGAATCTAAATCCATCCAAGTTGCTGCAAAGCCCATAATTTTTTTCTTCTTTATGGCTGTGTAATATCCCATCATGTATATGTACCACATTTTTTTTTTATCCAGTTCAGTTTCAGTGAACAGCACAGTTCCATGTTTTTTGCTCTTCTTTCTGAAGACCATATGGAGACTCACTCTTTTTTTTTTTTCTTGAGACAGGATTATGCTGTTTTGCACAGGCTAGAGTCCAGTGATGCAATCATACATCACTGCAACCTCGAACTCCTGGGCTCAAGAAAGCTCCTGACTCAGCCTCCTAAGTAGCTGGGACTACAGGCATGTGCCATCACACCCAGCTAATTTAAAAAAAAAATTTTGTTGTCGGGTATGGTGTTTCACACCTGTAATCCTAGCACTTTGGGAGGTAGAGGTGAGAAGATTATCTGAGCCCAGGGATTTGAGACCAGCCTGGGCAACTTGGTGAGACCTCATCTCTACAATAAATCAAAAAATTAGCTGGGCATGGTGGTATACACCTGTGCTTCAGCTACTTGGAAGGCTGAGGTGAAAGCATTGCCTGAGCCCAGCAGGTCGAGGCTGCAGTGGCTGTTAACGTGCCACTGCACTCCAGCCTGAGTGACAGAGTGAGACGCCTCCAAAAATGTAAATAAAAACAAAAATTTTTTTGTAAAGATGAGGTCTCAATGTGTTGCCCAGGGTGGTTTCAAACTCCTGGTCTTAAGTGATCCTCTTGCCTTAGCCTCTCAAAGCCCTCACACCTGGCCTCTTTCCTATTTTTTTGTTTTGTTTTGTTTGTTTTTGAGTTGGAGTCTTACTCTGTAGCTCAGGCTGGAGTGCAGTGGCATGATCACGGCTCACTGCAGCCTTGACCTCCTGAGTAGCTGAAACCACAGACATGTGCTACCACACTCAGCTAACTTTTTGTATAGGCAGAGTCTTGCCATGTTGCCTAGGTTGGTTTCGAATGACTAGGCTCAAGCAAAATCCTCCTGCCTTGCCCTCTCAAAGTGCAGGGATTACAGGTGTGAGCCACCGCACCTAGCCATCCCTTTCTATTTTGAAGCACACCAAATACATTATCATTTGGAGTTCTTCCCCTAAGATGGGCTATAAAGTAGACTAGTTCATTTTTTTTTCCTTCAGAGGATAAACACATAGACACTTTTTGATTTAAGAATTTTATTATTAAAGAGTATGGAGAAAGAGAAGGTATAACAAAAATAACAAATGTGGGGGAAATTACTTTGCTAGATAGTGCTCAGCATCATACAATAATATGTGGCAACGTGATATTTGGTAATTACATGACCCTCCTATTGTGTGACTTTGGGCAAATTACAGAATTTCTTGGGACATCAGTTTGCTTATCTGCAAAGAGAGAGATTTGAATTACGTGATCTCTAAGGTAGGAATCTACC